CAAGACCTTTTTCTGAATTAAAACATTTTTTTAATTACTTTTATTTACGACCAGATCTAGAGGTGGCAATCGTGTCGTGCGTGTCGGGTTCGTGTCGTGTCGAAACACTAAACGGGTTGAAAGTGTTTGACCCTAACCCGACCCATTTAATTAACGTGTCGTGTCATGTTAACCCGTTTATTTTCGTGTCGAGTTCGTGTCGGGTTTCGGGTTAGGGTTATAGCTGCAAATATGTCGTGTCATGTGAGGTTAAAAGATTGAGCATGTTGAAAGGGAAGGAGTTAGGTAGGTAGAAAGGAAAAACTAATACTTTAGAGGCAAAATAGTTGAAGTCATAGCAAGTTCAGATGAAAAAATTAAAAGAGTGAGAGTTGGGGAGGCGGATGACAAAGGTCATGAGGATGCGAGAGTGGTGAAAGAGACTGGGTAGTTTGGGAGAGAATGAAAAATTGAAATGAAGTCTTGATCTAGATGGCTAAGTCATTTCAACATTACAAAACAATTTAATTCGAAGGCTTTCTTTACTTATGGTTTTGATTTTGTATCTCTCTAGTTTGTTTAAATAATTCAAAAATACTTGCATATAAATAAATTGGTCATTTTCGAGTCATATTCGAGTTGAAATTCTCAACCCTAACCTTACCCATTTAATTTTCGTGTCGTGTCGTGTCAACCCGTTTATTTAAACGGGTTGAAATATCTTACCCAAACCCGTTTATTTCGTGTCGGGTTTCATGTCGTATCAATTTTTGCCACCTCTAACCAGATCTCACACCAAATATGTTATTTAAATTATTTAATGTATTAATTATTTATCGTGATACATAAAGTAATATCCTGAATCCAAAATCCTATTGAAAGCACAAAAAGTATATAAGATGAGTATGAAAAATGCACAAACAACACGACTCTGATCCGAAGTTGCCAAATTGGAATTTGGAACGTACTTTTTGTCCTCTTTTTTTATAATAGACTAATTTATAGTTTTGGTCCCTATAGTTTATATCTATCTACAATTCTAGTCTAAGTTTTTATTTTTTTTAATATTGCTCGTCTTATGTACATTAAAATCACTAAACATCCTTATCATTAAACTAAATAATAAAACCTTGAAAATTATATATTTTAAAGAGAAAATTACAAATTTAACCAGATACATTAATTATTTTGTGGAAAATAGCCAAAAAAAACTCAAATTGCAAAAATAACCCTTAAAATTGCAGATGGATTAAACTCATCTACGATTTTACCCTTATCTGCGAACGTACAAGTGCTTAAAGGACATACATGTTTTAGGCACTTGTACGTTCGCAGATGAAAAAGTTCATTTGTGATTTTGTGAAGTCCATCCGTGATTTCGTGGGATCTAGTATAAAAAGTTTTTTTTTCTTCATTTTTCACTCTTTCTTAAAGAACTATTTCTCTGCGATTTCCTTAGAACTATCATGGACGATTTCCTTAGAGATGTTTTCAACAAATTTTCCAAAAAAATAACAACAAAAATGATAATTTATTGAAAAATTTTATATAAAATAAGGTTGTTTTGTAGTCAAACCTATCAATTTCATAGTCAAAAATAAAAAATAAAAAATAAACGAAAATAAAATTCACAAAATTGTAGTTCAAAAGGAGAGGAAATCGCAGATGGACATAGTCCTTCTGCGATTTTAGACTGAAAAAGAGGTATATATACAGAAAAAAAAAAAAAAAAAAAAAAACTGTGAACGTACAAGTGGCTAAAGCATGTCTGTACTTTGGTCACTTGTACGTTCGCAGATGGCATGGCGAAATCGCAGATGGATTATACGCATCTGCGATTTTAGTGGCTAAAAATACAATTTTAATTTTTTTTTTCTATTTTCCACAAAGTAATTAGTATATTTGGCTAAATTTATAATTTTCTCTATTTTAAAATAGAGAAAATGACAAAAATAGCCATTTACACTAATTACATTACAAAAATAACCAAAAAAAAATCGAAATTACAAAATTAGCCAATGATTTCACAGATGAAGATGCCCCATCTGCGAAATGAGCATCTCATCTGCGAATGTACAAGCACCTAAAACACAGTTGTGCTTTAGGTGCTTGTACATTTGCAGGTGCTTTTATTTTTTTTATTTTTTTAATTTTTTTCTGTATATATAGGGGTAAAATCGTAAATGGAATAGGTCCATTTGCGATTTACTCTCACTCTATCTGCGAAATTATGGTTTTTTTTGTATATATATATATATATATATATATATATATATATATATATATATATATATATATATATAGTTTGACTATAAAATGAATTGGTTTGACTATGAAATCATGTTGCTATATAAAAAGTTTTGTAGATTGTTTTACTTTCTCAGTCAAACCAATTCATTTCGTAGTCAAACTTAAAAAAAAAATACAAAAAAAAATCACAATTTCGCAGATAGAGTGAGATTAAATCGCAGATGAACCTATTCCATCTGCGATTTAACCCTTATATATACAAAAAAAAAAAATTAAAAGCACATGCGAATGTACAAGCACCTAAAGCACAGTTGTGCTTTAGGTGCTTGTAAATTCACAGATGAGATGCTCATTTCGCAGATGGGGTATCTCCATCTGTGAAATCGTTGGCTAATTTTATAATTTCGATTTTTTTTTTACTATTTTTATAATATCATTAATGTAAATGATTATTTTTATCATTTTCTCTTTAAAATATATGTTTTACTAAGCAAGTGAAGTGGACATTATTTAAAGATTTAAATTTTCAGGTGCCGGAGTATTCGGTCATCTATCGGATTCCAAACTGGGAAGAAAGGGATCTCTCACAGTAGTCTGCATACTCAACGCCATTTTTGGACTACTAACATCTCTCTCCCCAAACTACTTAACCTATGTCATCCTCCGATTTCTCACCGGTTTTAGCACCGGCGGCGTCGGCCTCTGTGCGTTCGTCCTCGCCACCGAGCCTGTCGGACCATCGAAGCGTGGTATGGCCGGAATGTCCACTTTTTATTTCTTCTCCGGCGGAATCGCCATCCTCGCCGGAATAGCTTATATTTTCCGAACATGGCGAGCCCTGTATATTGCTTCATCGATCCCTTCTCTCCTTTTCGTGTTTTTAATCCTCCCCCTCATCTCCGAATCCCCCCGATGGTACCTTATTCGAGGTCTACCAGATGAAGCTATGAGCGTCATGCGTTCGATTGCTGTCACCAACGGTAGATTTCTCCCGGAAAACGTGTATGTTTCCCGTGACGAAGACGCTAATCATGGTGGTGATCAGAAAAGTAACGAGTTAAGGTCGTGTGAAGCTGTGTCGGGATCGGTGTTTGACGCGCTTAAATCGCCGGTAACCCGGATCCGTTTGATTCTCGTAGTCGGAATCAACTTCACTTGCTCTGTTGTCTACTATGGTCTCAGTTTAAACGTGGTGAACCTGGAAACCAATCTTTACATGAATGTGGTAGTGAACGCGGTGGCGGAGATGCCGGCGTTTCTTTTCACAGCGATTTTGATTGACAAGTTTGGAAGGAAGCCGTTGGGGGTGGGGACGCAGTGGTTCAGCGGGATTTTCTGTGTCGCCGGAAGTTTTTTGGGTGGAAAAGGGGCTTGCAAGGTGGTGAGAATGGTGTGTGGTGTTTTGGGGATTTTTGGGATGGCCGGAACTTACAATCTACTGTTTATATATGCGATGGAGTTGTTTCCGACGGTGGTGAGAAACGCCGCCTTGGGATGTGCGACACAGGCGGCGCAATTTGGGGCGATTTTGGCGCCGTTTGTGGTGGTTATGGGTGGCGGGTTGCCGTTTATGGTGTTTGGGGTGTGTGGAGTCGTTGGTGGGTTTCTTACGTTTTATTTGCCGGAGACTTTGAACAAGCCGCTGTATGACACCATGAACGGAATGGTTGAAGGAGAGAATGAAATATTAGCATGAAATATGAATAGTGAAGACTATAATTTGTTGTTTTTTTTTTTCTTTTTGGTTTTTGTATTTATTTAACTAATCATGTGTTGTTTTTTATACAAAGTTTTTCGTGTAACGTACATGTATATTAATCGGAAAATTCGGTTTTTTGTGGTTCCTAGCATACCTGTTGGTGTGTCTTTCAGTGTGTTACTTTTGCAATAAGTTTATGACATGATAAACCTTTTAAAGAACATTTTCCAATAAGGATGATGAATAATTGAAATTGTAGGATGGATTGAATTGCTAAGGTATAAAATCATCTGTTCAAGAATAGCTAAGGTATAAAAAGAAATTTTGGATCTTATCATTATTATTATTATTATTCATTACTTATGTAAAGTAGAGGTATAAATGTTAATATATATAGTTTTTTTTCAGTGTTAATTAAAAATCTTCTGTAGAATCAATCCCTATGAATTTTGATAGTATTTTTATGAGTTTTATAATATCGACACTCTGAAATTTCTGTAGTTTGTATTGAGTTTTATATGTTGACAACCTCTGAAACTTTTAAAATATATAATACGTATGTTAGTTGGCATATATTTTACTAAAATATGACATTAGGACAGTTTCACAGGTAATTAATTTAGTATTGTTCAAGTATTATGAGCAACTTTACTTATATGATATAAATATGAAAAATTACACAACAGCCCTATGTATTGCCATTTTACCCTTGCAATCCTTAAAGTTTTTTCAATGTCTTTTAAATGAATAACGTTATTTTTTACCTTTTATCTGTTCATTTAGTCACCTAACCTAATACAACCAGTTTCATATGTCATGTACCATTTTTGTTTGTTCACCTTCCTAGTCACACTTGATTATATGACTTTTTAAATACAATTGGTTTCAAATTCCTCCGATTAACTCAACTCAAATGAATCATAGTTGTTTCTAAGGTTTTTTAACTACATCAAATTTCCAAACTCCTATCGGATGAATGTTCAATAAAATTACCAGGTACACGTTTACAAGATAAATGAAGAGAAACCTGAATTTGAGCTTCGGACTGAAATCGTTTTAGGGTTTTGGAGAATCACTTCGATGGAGGTAATGAAGGATGGACAGATTGACTATCTCTTTCGTTTTGGGAAGATGTGATTTTGTTGCTTCCATCCTCCTTCAAAGTAGTTGTCATCTCGCTTTCCCAACTATGGTCAGATATGAGAAGCCTCAATTTGAGCTTCGAACTAAAATCGCTCGAGGGTTTTGGAGAATCACTTTGATGGATGTAATGAAGGATAGGCAGGTGGAGTATCTCTTTCATTTCGGGATTAAAGATGTGATTTTGATGCTTCCATCCTCCTTCGAAGCAGTTGTCATCTTGGTTTATGGTCAAATATGAGAAGTTAATAAGGGTTTATAGGTATTGTAAGTCTTAATAATTCTAGTGTTTTTGTTGTTGCTATCAACTAGAGGACAACAAGAGAGAGGCCTCTTCAACTCTCTCTGAGAGCCGACCACAGAGGAATACAGGGTTTTATTGGATGTGAACTACGGTTTTTACTGTTGGCTCGAATCAACCATCAAGTTTTACAAATATTTGTTGGGTAATGAACACAATTATTCACACTTTTTGAGCCGATAGAAACCGATTTGGATCCGAAAAGGTTATGCAGCTTGAAGAAGATGATGAATAGGACCTCTATATGTGAGATCGTGTGTGAGAGAGAGAGTGTGTGTTTGTGACAATGTATGTGTTAAAAAGACGAGTCATTTCGTTTATAATAAACAAATAAATTAATAGATCAATTAAGTGAGTTGGCATAAAGGGGACTTAAAGGGTAAAGTCGCAATACATAATAAAGCCATTGCTTCATTTTGCAAATCAAAAGTTATTTTAATAAAACACATAATCGTTTACATATATCTAAAATAAACAAATTTCAAAACTTTCTTGCTCATGTGAATAATATACTAATCATCATCACCAGCATACCAAATCATATTTTTTATAGTTTGATAAATTAGTATTCATCATTAATAATCTTTAAACCAAGAATCACATTCAAGAAAGTTCATCGTTGACCATATTGACTGTTTCCATAGGTAGAAGGTGGTGATGGAGGAGGAGGAGGAGAATCTCTTGGCCTTGCATACTCTGCAAATATAACCCAACCATCCAAAAACTGCAACAACAAAAAAAAAAAGACCACAACAGAAATGACCATTAAGCCCTTTTCTCTTATTTTAGTCAATCATTGGGATTCAGACTACACAAAACACATGTAAAGTATTATCTATATGAGCACTTAATAATAGTGTATGTAAATATGAAATTACCTTTCCATCCATGCCCTCTATGCCAGCAGCAGCTCCTTCAAGGGTAGAATATCGTACAAAACCAAACCCCTTTGACCAACCTGAAGCACGATCTTTGACCACTCTAGCTGCATAAAGTAATTTTAAAAAAAGAATTAGAGTTCAAAAAACAGCATACTTTTGAATCAAGATCATATCTCATGGAGAAGAAACAAACCATGAACAACTTCACCAAACTTTTCAAAGCATTCTTTAAGTCCTTCATCAGTCGTACGTTTGCTAAGACCTGTATGTAACATCAACAGAGATGAAATCTTTAGAGTGTAAATGCATATGAAAAACAATATTTACAAGATTTGGATATATAGATACAGAAGGTAGTGATGCTAAATAATCAAAATAGAATCCAATCCTATGTTGCTCTGTAACTAAAAAGCATCTGTGGATTACAAAATTTGATCTTTTTAACATAATTAAAGAATCACTCAACATCAAGCACTAAACCACAAACATCTTTAAGAACATGAACTAGCAGTAATTCCACAATTGGAATTGAAAGACCTATGACTAATTGCATCACTTCTTGAGGCTAGAAGAGGCTCGTCGGTGTGAAAATTTTAAGGTAAGACAAATTTCTTCTACCTTTCATTCATTTATCATCGTAAAACATTGCAACTCCATGGATCATTGGATCAAACAAGTATATAAAACGATTAACATGGTAGGCGATTAATAAAGTAGGGTTTAACAAATATTATATATGCATAAGTACACAAGAGGAATTATATGACGAGATTAGAGCGTATAAAAATGAATAGAGACCGAAGGGAAGGGGGACGTGCCTGATACGAAGAGGTTGGTAGAAGGTTCAGCTTGCGGCCTCTGCGGTTGATTGGCGGTTTGTGAAGGGAAAGGGAAGTTGGTAGAAAGGGTTGAGAATAGCGATCTCAGCCCCCGGGGACCGGCAGCCGCCACCGTCGTCGCAGTCCGCATCGCCATTTTGGGGTTTAAGGGTTTTGGCAGAGTCCTTACGAGAAATATCTAGGGTTACTTTTGAACTTCCTGACTAAGTTGCTTATATAACTATGAAAGGTTAAGATTGTTGCAAAAGCAAAATATACCAAAAGTCTATTCAAAATAGAGAAAGAATGTGGGGTAATTATTAACTTAAATTTTGTTATTGAATGATAGTATTTATTTGTAGAACATCAATAATATAATTTTACTCTTAATTACTTTTAATTATTCTACAATTCGGTCTCTTATAATTGTTATATAATCAAACAACAATGGAAAGCTTCCCAACCATCATAATCAAGGTTGTCAAAATCGGGATCCTACCTAGGATCGTTTTTGGGTTTCTAAAATCGGGATTGGGATCCTAAGATCCCACAAAGTAAAATATAATTTTAATTTATAATTTTTAATCATGAAAAATATTTCAAACATTTAATTTTTCGTTCATAAGTTATAAAAACTTCAAAATATTAGCCATAAGGTACAATACAAAATGATAAATGGTAAATCGGTAAAGCGTAAAAGACATATGGTAAAAAAAACTTTCATTTGCAAAAAAAAAAAAAAAAAAAAAAAAAAAAAAAGGAAGGTAGAATCGGATCGGATCTCGATCCTACGATCCTACCCCAAATACGACCGGGATCGTTTTTCATACCTAGGATCGTACGATCCTACGATCAGGATCGCGATTTTGACAACCATGATCCTAATCTTGGTATGGGAAACAACTCTCGTTGTTTTGGCATGACTTTTTCACATCCAGAGTCGCTCAATCTCATTACTTGTTTGATACGAACATACGAACATGACACCACCAATTCCAAAAAGAACAGATACATCAACAAACCCTATAAATACAAAAAGTCGTCTCTCACAAATGGGTAAGTGTCTTCAGATTATTTTTAGTTTTTTCATTCATCATGCAACTAGCTTCAGTCTCATAGTAACCTGATCGTCGGAACATATCAAAAGTGATACCTCATTGGATATAGGTGGCATCTTTTTCTCTTTAGTGATTTTATAGATCTTGAATCCATCAAATTCATTGCCACCTCAAGAGCACAGTCAAGCCTCATGTACAAGGCCGATTGCATAATTCGGGCACATGTATGGACTGTTGTGAAAGTCATCATCTCGGTAAACCATTGTAAGTGGGAAATGATAGAGAAAACAGTAAGGAAAAGGATCTCTATCATGCTTTCTTCTTGATGTCACCAGCATATTCAAACTTCTATAACCACCTCAGTCTTAGGAATGTCCAATATTTATAATGAAACGATTAACGGTCGATGAAATACTTGTAAGCGTGATGAACTCGCCATGAACAACCATAACCATCATATATCTTGATCTAGAAGAAGATAGACATATGGAACCAATGGCTTACTACAACAGTCGAACACTAAGTCAAAGCACTTGTGTCGTACAAGGAAGATGCAAACACGATGATGGTCTACATGTATCCATACTCCAAGGAAGAAAATTATATATGAATAAGAGATCCATTGTCACGAGACATTGTTGACTGTAGTACACTAAGAAAGAAGCAAGATAAGGGATACAACACTAACACCTATAGAACAAAACATGTATCCTAACATGGGTAGGTATTCAGTGGCAGATTTAGTGCATCACAAGTGGGGTGTATGGCCCCATTTAAAAATAGCTCACATGAGAAATTTTAGTAAAAAAAAATTGTTACGTAATTGAACAATTGGCCCCAGTTAAGTTTTCTTTGGCACTCATTATTACCGAAAAAACCCAAGAAAAAACTAAAAAAAAAAATCATATTCTTTTATTAATTTTTATTATATTTTTCCTTTGTATATTTTGGCCCCTGTTGGTTTTGGTTCTGGATCGATCACTTAGGTATTTTCAAAGATGTGATCCAACATAGTCTTAATGTTGATGTATAATGTAGTCCAATCCAATAGAAATTACCACAAAAAACATGATACCAAAATGTAGCAACAAAACATGGAAGTCAACAAGCTTGTCCAAGTAGGGATCTATACACCAAGTAGTGTTCTTGATATGGATTGTGAGAGCCCGACAATAGTCAAGAAAGGTGATGGGTCTTTGGAGGATGTGTAACATTTTCACATATCTTATGCATAAAACCTACGAGTTTATTAGACAAAAGAAAAACTAAGAAAAAAAAGTTCGTCTTTTTTGGTATCTTTAGTCCAATCTTATACATAGAGCAAAGAGGATATGTAGTTGTTGCTTGGAACATGGCTCCAACCAGGTGTTGTCGATTGATCAAAAGACCCAATCATTATTCCTTAGATATAGATAGAAATGCTTCAAATCGTAGAATTTTTTTGATACCAAAATTGTGATTTATACTTTAAATTGTAGTACCCACATAAAATAATGTGTAAGTAAAGATTGAAGATGCGGTCATCAAAACACAAGGGTTGCTCAATGACATATAGGAGACCTTCATCACTTTAAGAAGCATCAAGATTATATCGTACCTAACAAAATCCCCTTTTGATTCCAAGGGAAACTTCTCGAATTCCATGGAGACATTGAAGAGAATCATTTATTAATTAAAAACTTATGATAATGATAAAGGCTCTTTTTTTTCAAACATATGGGCATTTGAGGATATTTGAATCCTTAACACCAGCCTTCTCATTAGTATAACAAATCAGCAACCAAAAAACAAAACAAAAACAAGTCTACCACAAAACTTTCCCATAAAACAAAATGTATGACAATCAACATAACAATATAACAATTCCAAGTAAAAAGCTCAAAATAACTAACAATAAAAGTACCCAATGATCGATAACAAAAAAAACCAAAACCAAAACCATAACAGCAATCTAGCTTCATCACTTGTCAGCCTTGGCGGCGGTGGCAGCAGCTTGACCTCTGAGCCGCCCGGTCCTCCTGGCGGCAATGAGCCCAACCTTTTGACCGGGTGGTGCATCACGTCTAACCGTACTTGCATGACCAATATGTTGATGGTTACCACCACCATGAGGATGCTCCACAGGGTTCATAGCCACACCACGAACCTTAGGCCAGCAGTTACGTTTCACACGGAATTTGTGATACGCGTTTCCTGCCTTCAACATTGGCTTTTCTGTACGCCCTCCTCCTGCAACTTGACCAATCATAGCTCTGCATCCACTTGGCACGATTTTCTTGGCTCCAGATGGAAGCTTCACTCTATGAAACATACACAAAATTAAACATAGAACGTAAGTGGAAGGAAAAAGAAGTCAAGAAAAGTGGTCTTTTGGAATACCCAGAGAAAAAAGATAGGTTTTTTTGAAACCCCAGAAAGAAAAGATTGAATTTTTGGAAAAATTGTGAAGAAAAGTTGTGATTCACTGAAAGGTTACACTTGAATCTTGATCTCAAGAATGAAAAGTCACCAAGATTTACTAAAGAAAGTTGCCCAAAAGAAAAAAGTGCAACTTGTGAAAAACCCATGAAAATTGTTGGGTTTTGTAAAAATCCTTGAGCAGAGTTGCTTAAATTGGTAGTTTTGATAAGAATCTTAAAGAGAATTGATGGATTGGAGCTTATAGAGGAGACATACTTGACATTTGGAATATTGTTCAAAGGTTTAAAAATAAAAGTTGTATTGCATTTTTGATAACCTTAAACACAGTTTTGCACTTTAAAGCAGACTAAAAAACAATTGTTTTATCTTGGGAAGGTTGTTATCTTGACAACAACCCGAAAAAACAGATTGAATAGTAAAAAATAGAGAAAAAAGAATGAATCTTCTGAGATGAATTATCTAGACAACAATCACACAGAGAGTTAAACCATGACTTGGAATAAAAATAATCAAAATTCAAATTAAAATGCACGCGGATGAATGCAAACAATTCTAACTAAGGTTTTCCATTGTTCAGATCTAGACATGATGCTTAAGTAAGAAATAAACGTTCTGCAAAATGCATAACAAATATTTTGTTTGGGAATTGCTACACAAATATACAGGAGACAGTTATGCAAAAAAACGCTAAATTTAGAACGATTACACAACTACTTAGAACCAAAGATTATCTTGATACAAAACACCAGAATAAGAATGATACGAATCAGTACTTAATTCTAACTTAGGTATCCAAATCCGGTTAGTGATTTTGAATTACAAAAAATTGAAATCGGATTAAACAGTTCAATATCAAGTGGATACAAACAAAATTTTCATAAGTATGGATAAGAAAACTAATCAAAATCATTTATAAACAAACAGGTATAATAGACAATATGCAATTAGACAAAATGCATAAAAAGAAAGGGTTTAAATGATAGAATGTATACCTAGTGGTGCCGTTATCGGGGTTGTGACTGATAACGATGGCGTAATCACCAGAAGCCCTGGCAAATGAACCACGGTCACCGACGTGGTGCTCAACGTTGCAGACAACAGCTCCTTCTGGGATAGATCTGAGAGGAAGGACGTTACCGACCATCAAGTTAGCCTTCTTTCCACAGAAGACGAACTGACCAGTGTACATCCCCTCCGCGGCGACGAAGAGTTCCTTCTGGTGCTTGTAACGGAAAGGATGACGGAAAGTGACGCGTGCAAGAGGGGCACCACGCCCTGGATCGTGGATGATTTCTGTGATGACACCCTTGAGGTAACCATTGCGCTCACCGAAGTCGAGACTGCGGAACCTCGCCGGACCCTTGCGGTGGTGGGTGTGAGATTTGAAGACGGACCCTGCTCCCTTACGCTGTGCTCTGATAACACGACCCATTTCACCTGTTAAGCTTCGGAGAACGACGGCAGATGGAGGGAGGTGGAAATAGGAGAATGGAAGCGCTTTGTAGGGTTTAAGAGGGTACGTTTCTTGACCTAGGGCTTAATTGGGCCAAAGATATATTGCTTGGGCCTGTAAATGGGTTTATTTGGTCATTTAGTGACTTGGGCCATCAAAACTCTTGTAGCAAGATAGTCCGTTGAAGGTAATAAGAGGTTGTTTTTATTTGGGTAAATTAAAAGG